TATACCATTATTTCATCTGGTGTGTGTTGAGAATAACCGTTAGAAATCGGTAATCCATTACAATATTAGTAGAAAACTACCTTAACATCCTGATAGGCACTCACAGCACTGAAAGAGCTTATAATTCGGCAAACTGTGAATCACACACATAATGCACCATCAACATTGAAATATTGCTCAAGTTACACTATAAGTATGATATATATATATGTATATATACATAGATTTGTCATAGATAAAATGGATGGATTAATGATAAGTAGAATGTGATATTCTGATTGCAGTTATACATTGCTGGTTGACATGTTTCCCGGGTCCTATTGGAAAAAAAAAAAATATAGAAAAAAAAGTCACTTGAATGCTACTTATCTATACATAACCAGGAATGGAAATTAAAATTTAAGTTGTCCATCCATTGAACAGGTTAAAGAATAACAGTGCCTGTTCCAATCAATGGCATACCTGCCCCTAGCAGGACAAATAAATAAATAATGAAAGCAAACTTTTAATTTTGATTCATCCAATTAATTTCATTACACTATTACCATTTGGTCTCCCATATCTGGCCAGATTTATCTTTATTCACCACTAAAAAGGGACAGGCAATTTCTAAATTAACCTATCCCAGCTACCTGTCTGGGACAGGTGGACAGGTTTTAAATTAGACCCAGGATAAGTACAATATGGAAATGAAGTATCAACATAATTTACATACGCCCCTGTCCTATTGGTTGGGTTAGACCTGTGCTCTTATCAATGATTGAATCTGTCTATTCAAAACATTTAGTGAATAAGGGTAGATCTCCATAAAGTGTAGGTTTTATCTTCAGGTGTGACAGTATAACACACGGTATAACATGTGAGTGTTCTCATTGGAGGAATTACCAAACATTAGCTGAAAACTCGAATATATAAAGAAATGAATTCAAATATTTTGTGGATTACTAATTTATCTCTTCATGCTAGCTAACTCAAAACTTACCAGTGAGATATTGTGATTTGAAGCAGTGCTTCCTGGGCGGGACTGGTCTTTCCACTGCCAGCCTTGCTATTGGCACTCTGAGCTCGCCCACTGGCCTGTGTGATTGAAGCCTCAGAATCCCAGCGCTCTAGTTCTTCACGTACTAGACGTTCCATCTGATCACGTTTGCCATCATCCTCACTGCGGCCCTGACGTTCATCCTATAAAACAAACATATATATATTGAAGTTGTACTGTCTGAAAAACAGAATTGAAAGTCTTTTTCAATTTTGAGTAGTTTGAAAGTATAACAGCATTTGCGAGTTATACTGATCTAAAGTTGAAATATTGCAGCGTTTATCAACCAAGTTATTTATTGTCTTCACTACAATAAATCCAGTACTAGTCATGCATGGCTGTTCGAATTGTGCTTCAGGTGCGTGCTAAACACAACTAATTTACGAAGTATATAATGTTTGGAATTCCAAGTTCACTTGGATGCGATAAAAACAGCGTAATAGTAGTCCTATGAATTCAAAAGAATGAACCTAATGACTATTAATCTCACACTAATCCTAATGAAAAGTGATATATGACTACAATTTTGGAATACAGATGATCTCATTCACACATGGACTAATATTTTGGATTAAATGATGAAAACTAACCTCGGTAATACTATCCAACAATTTGCCCATGGTCTCCGGCGTTTCAATTTTGCTCTTTCCATCGCTTCCAATTTCACAGCACAGCATCAATTTTGGAGACAATGCTTCCAATAGAATGCTCCATACGATCAACTCTGCGACTCAGTCTGAATTATGAAAAACAAAGTGTAAATATTTTTAATTTATATTCACTGATTCTAAATATAAAATAAATCAGTACAGTGTTTGCTCTGATAAAATCACATATAAACCAGCAATAACATCTATTGTACACTCTGGCTCTTTAAAAGATTGTCTTGTTACGATCATAGACACACATCTGTCATTTACTTATAAGTAAATACATCCAGACTATCCAAGTACTCAAGAATGGTTTAGTGAATCGCTACATAAATACATAGTTGGCACAGAATTCTGTGTCATCACTGATTGGCCATCTCCATGCCTTCAGTACATTGCCAAGGGAATTCGAATATGCAGACTATCCCGTACGTAAGGCATGCCCACAACACTCCAGACCGATTCACTTATCTATTA